TCTGTTTTTAATTGTACATATTTATTTTTATTCCAGATCGTCCAGTTAACTTGAAGAATTTCAGGAACAGAGCAGAGTATATTTGGTAAGTCCATTAGAGAAATGACGGGGACATCATTTTCTAATGGGGGGGAGTTTGTAGTAGAGGTACTTTTATTTAAAATAATAAAAGTTAAGTGATTTTTAATGATATAAAATAAATATTAAATATAAATTAAATATAGACTAAATAAACTGTTAAATAAGTTATAAATGATAGTTTTCCGTTAAAGTTTACTCTTTTCTTTCTTTACTAACTTGGGTATTTAGTGCTATAGCTATACACCCCTTTGGATCCACACCTGTACATACACTTTTACATGACCACATACATATCTACTGGTCAGTTTTTAGCTCTACTGGTCAGAGACCAGAAGAGTTTATGCGATAGCAATGCGTCCGGCGTCCGTCCATCTGTCTGTAAACAATTTTTCAAAATGCTACTCCTTTTACAGTTTTGATCTGATTTCAATATAACTTGGCACACAAGTAGACTACACTAAGATACATAATTCTGTGTATCGGTTTTTGATTTTGATAAACGGTGTTGCCGTGGTAACTAAAAATAGAAATTTCTGTGAAATTTCTTTAAAATGCTACTCCTCCTGCAGTTTTGGTCTGATTTCAATATAACTTGGCACACAAGTAGACTACACTAAGATACATAATTCTGTGTATCGGTTTTTGATTTCGGTGAACGTTGTTGCCGTGGTTACTAAAAATAGAAATTTCTGTGAAATTCTTTCAAAATGCTACTCCTCCTACAGTTTTGGTCTGATTTCAATATAACTTGGCACACAAGTAGACTACACTAAGGTACATAATTCTGTATATTGGTTTTTGATTTTGATAAATGGTGTTGCCGTAGTAACTAAAAATAGAAATTTCTGTGAAATTCCTTTAAAATGCTACTCCTCCTACAGTTTTGGTCTGATTTCAATTTAACTTGGCACACAAGTAAACAACACTAAGATACATAATTCTGTATATCGGTTTTTGATTTCGATGAACGTTGTTGCCGTGGTTACTACAAATAGAAATTTCTGTGAAATTCCTTTAAAGCTCTACTCCTCCTACATTTTTGATCTGATTTCAATATAACTTTGCACACAAGAAGACTACACTAAGATACTAGTACATAATGTAGTGCATCGGTTTTTTATTTCGATGAATATTGTTGCCATGGTTACTAAAAATAAAAATTTCTGTGAAATTCCTTTAAAATGCTACTCCTCCTACAGTTTTGGTCTGATTTCAATATAACTTAGCACACAAGTAGACTACACTAAGATACATAATTCTGTGTTTTGGTTTTTGATTTTGATAAATGGTGTTGCCGTGGTTACTAAAAATAGAAATTTCTGTGAAATTCTTTCAAAATGCTACTCCTCCTACAGTTTTGGTCTGATTTCAATATAACTTGGCACACAAGTAGACTACACTAAGGTACATAATTCTGTTTATTGGTTTTTGATTTTGATAAATGGTGTTGCCGTAGTAACTAAAAATAGAAATTTCTGTGAAATTCCTTTAAAATGCTACTCCTCCTACAGTTTTGGTCTGATTTCAATTTAACTTGGCACACAAGTAAACAACATTAAGATACATAATTCTGTATATCGGTTTTTGATTTCGATGAACGTTGTTGCCGTGGTTACTAAAAATAGAAATTTCTGTGAAATTCCTTTAAAATGCTACTCCTCCTACAATTTTGGTCTGATTTCAATATAACTTAGCACACAAGAAGACTACACTAAGATACATAATTCTGTTTATCGGTTTTTCATTTCGATGAACGGTGTTGCCGTGGTTACTAAAAATAGAAATTTCTGTGAAATTCCTTTAAAATGCTACTTCTCCTACAGTTTTGGTCTGATTTCAATATAACTTAGCACACAAGTAGACTACACTAAGATACATAATTCTGTGTTTTGGTTTTTGATTTTGATAAATGGTGTTGCCGTGGTAACTAAAAATAGAAATTTCTGTGAAATTCCTTTAAAATGCTACTCCTCCTACAGTTTTGGTCTGATTTCAATTTAACTTGGCACACAAGTAAACAACACTAAGATACATAATTCTGTGTATCGGTTTTTGATTTCGATGAATGTTGTTGCCGTGGTTACTAAAAATAGTTGCCATGGTTACTAAAAATAGAAATTTCTGTGAAATTCTTTCAAAATGCTACTCCTCCTACAGTTTTGGTCTGATTTCAATATAACTTGGCACACAAGAAGACTAAACTAAGATACATAATTCTGTTTATCAGTTTTTCATTTCGATGAACGTTGTTGCCGTGGTTACTAAAAATAGAAATTTCTGTGAAATTCCTTTAAAATGCTACTCCTCCTACAGTTTTGGTCTGATTTCAATATAACTTTGCACACTAGCAGACTACACTAAGATACAAAATTCTGTGTATCGGTTTTTGATTTCGATGAACGCTGTTGCCCTGGTTACTAAAAATAGAAATTTCTGTGAAATTTCTTTAAATTGCTACTCCACATACAGTTTTGGTCTGATTTCAATATAACTTGGCACACAAGTAGACTACACTAAGATACATAATTTTCTTTATCTGTTTTTGATTTCGATGAACGTTGTTGCTGTGGTTACTAAAAATAGACATTTCTGTGAAATTCTTTGAAAATGCTACTCCTCCTACAGTTTTGGTCTGATTTCAATATAACTTGGCACACAAGTAGACTACACTAAGATACATAATTCTGTTTATCAGCTTTTGATTTCAATAAACGGTTTTGCCGTGGTAACTAAAAATAGAAATTTCTGTGAAATTCCTTTAAAATGCTACTCCTCCTACAATTTTGGTCTGATTTCAATATAACTTCGCAAACTTGTAGACTACACTAAGAACATAAAGAGACTTTATCAAGGATCATTATTCTATCTATTGCTGTTGTTAAGTTTCAATTCCCAACTGCTGAAGTACTTTTCTCTTCCTTTGCTATAAGTACAAACCAGTAGAGCTTCAGTCTCGACAGAGACTTCTGGTTGAAATACTTAGTTTTCTTTGGTTAGTGTTTTGGTCTTTGTGGTGTAGTGAGTTTTATTCAGTTTAAGCTCTGAAATTCTGACTTCTAATGGAGAAGACCTAGTTTGTTTTTGCTGTTGAAATTAGTTATTTCCTAAGACCTTAGACCTAAAGACAATTCCTGTAATGTAAGTTTTTACTTGTTTTATGCTACAAATATGTTTTCTATTACATTATGTTAAAAATGTGGAAAACAAGATATTTTACTTTTAATTGTTACATTAGGAGTTATCTGTCTATTTATTCAGATATTGATAAATCTGATGAACTTTTGCAAGAGATCAATTTGTATATAAACATGAAAAAAAGTTTGATGTGAAGATTCTGATAATCAAGATAATTTAAATAATTATTTATTTTGAGAAAGGTATTTGTATAGAGCAAGTCCTTATTATTACATTTATTGTACATAGGTAACATCATAAAATAAAGAAATGTATACTTGAATAGGAGAAAGTTCAGTTCCATAGATTGGTATGTCTAACTGTATATATATTTTTATGATTTGTAAAGAAATATCAAAGAAAGATAACTCTTCACAAGTTTGTCAAGTGTAATAGTGTTAATAGAGTTATTTCCCTTATATCATGTGTAAAGTATATTTATGTGTTATCATAGTAAATGATGATAATTAATTGTAAAAGAGAAGACAGATAATTTGTTATATTTTTACAATCGTAATATTTAATTGAAATAATATTTTGTACATATTTTTATGACGCAATTTGTATATTGCAGGACTTCCAATATTTCCATTCATTATTTCCATTACTGTCCGTATTAATCAACTAAGATGTCATCATAATAAACGTTAAAACTACAACTGAGTGTTTTCCATCATACTGCCGGGAATACCCGCTACATATGCACGGATAAATAGGAATTTGACATCAAATTCAAATAAAAATATATCCAAACATACTTCATGCCTCAACAAAGTATGTACTAAAATTTCAAGCATCTGTAATGAGTAGTTGCTGAGAAAACTGTGACGAAAATTTGTTATGAAAAGGACAGATGCACTGACAAACAGTAAGTTGATATTAGATTTGAACAAAAAAGAATCCCATCACATAGAATGCCTCACTATAGAGTGTGCTAAAATGTCAAGCATCTGCAATGAGTAATTGCTGAGAAAACTGCAATGAATATTTGTTATGTATGAAACATGTATGAAACAGATAGACACACAGACAGACAGGAAGTTGACATTAAATTTAAACAAAAATGTAATCCAACGTATAGCATGCCTCAGAAAAGATTGTCTTAAAATTTCAAGCATCTGCCATGAGAGTTGCTGAGAAAACTGCCATGAAAATTTGTTTTGCATGAAACATGTATGAAATGGATAGATGCACAGACAGACAGAGATTTGAAGAAAAATAAATCCTGCCATATGGCATGCATCAAAGAAGATTGTGTTAAAATTTCAAGCATCTGCAATGAGTAGTTGCTGAGAAAACTGTGACGAAAATTTGTTATGAATGAAACAGACACACAAGGGTAAAACAGTATACCCCCGCTCCGTCGGAGCAGGGGTATAATTATCTATGTAAATAAAAGTTCCCAATCATGATACAGTGTAAGGAAAATCATCTATTCTCTGAATTATTTCAGTAAGAGTACATTTCATGATCAAAAGTTCTTCAAATTTGTCTGTAGTAGATAAAATTTGTTTTGCATGAGAAAGACAGTAGCTTTAAACAGTAACTTAAAAACAGGTTAGAACCCAAATTTTGTTAAGTCTTCATAATTTGTCATATGAATTTGTTAGTACATGTATTGCATTCTAGTTCATAAATATTTTGCAATGATCGATATGAATAGAGAAGACAATGACAATATACTCTTCCTTCAACTTGTTGAGAAAACAGTAAAGCTGTCCAGAAAAGAGGCAAGGTGGCCATACCTGGTACCACATATGGAACATTCAGAGGAAGATGTGAGTCCTCATTGGTAGCCAGAAACAAGGCCCCCTCTCGTCTGGCATAGGTAGATGCCTTCATTATCTTAGGATAGGAAATGTATTTGTCAAATCCAACTAGGACACAGTTAATCTGCATACAAAACAAAAAAAACTATCACATCAAAAAAACAATTTAAGAACAATTTTAAACAATCAAATCTATAAATAATATTTAAAACAATGTGTATAAATATACTGACCTCAGGGTCAAGGGTCAAACCAGACACAATTTGAAAAGATTCTTGATTTTCTTCTGGAGGGTCTGGCTTAAAAATAAAATAAGAAGTTCGCAAGAATTCAATCAAGTCAAATAAATAAATTTATGAATAAAAACAGTGTAAAAACTGTAAACATGACACTTACATGTAAAACATGTGATAAAAAGACAAAGGTCTAAGGTTATAGCTGGATATGATTTTTAATCAACTTGATTATTTTTATCCCTTCACCATGGGGATCCCCTTGGGATAAAAATATAAACAACTCATCAACAATACATATTTAATACAGGTTATCCCTCTTTAAGACAAATCATGTAATTAAGTGCATTTTCCAAAAGTTATCCCCCTTTGTACAAAAATTTTATTAAATCATATCCAACCATAAAACATGGGAGATCCTATATATAATGTGTCTTGTGCACAACAATATCAGACTAATATCTATTATACATTGATGCTATATTTGAAATGATTGAAACACAACCAGAGAATAAAACATCTGAATAAGTAAGACTATAAAAGCTGGACACTTACACCAATCCCTGTATGATTTAGACCAAATCTATCCAGTTCTGCTCCCATACTGGGATTTCCAACAACGTAAATCTTTCCTTTGAAGTTCATGTTATGTAAGTAAAGTGCCGATATGTAACTAGTGCACACAATTTCCTCCTAAATAAAAATCGATATCAAAAATTTAATGTAATTTCATCATTTTTACAATATTCCCAACAGCAATTCATTTCAATTTTGAAAAGGGTAGACATATACAACAGTTTTGCATTTACAGATTTAATGTAACAAGTTATTTCCTTATAGGACAAATCAAGATATATTTAGTATATTTTCAAAAAGTTATCCCCATTTGGAAGCAATACTTAAGTCACTTAAAGTGCATTTTCTAAAAATTATCTACATTTGTAAAAAAAATTATTTAAATTTGTAGAGAAAGGCTGGGCGAAATACAGAGCAGATGTAGACCCTAACACAGGGATCGACACTAACTTTAAAACCATAGTTGTCAGCAGGGCTAGCCATTTCTAATTTCTACTAGCCCTGTTCATGTATTACTTGTCCAAAAGCCGAAGGCTGGTGGCCGTGTCACGAAGCGACGAGGGGGTAGGTGCGGGAGGGGGTTTCCCCCTCCTGCTGGTGGGGGTACGGGGGGCCTCCCCCGGGAAATTTTGAAAATAGAGATGCAAAATCCTGCATTCTGGCTGTATTTTGGGTAAAAATTATATGTCACTCTATGATTGTACCTAAGACATTTTTCTATTCGAAAAATTCAATATTTATAATCATTTAGGGTATTTCGATTCACCCTTTAAGTTTACATTTTGACCTACAAAAATAATAATTATGATGATAAAACATGTTTGAAAATAAATTTAACAATTATCAGGTATGTTGTGTGTAAATTATAATTATTTTCTTGCTCTTAGTGAGTAATTGTTAAAATTTACTGTAGCCCTGCAGGGCTAGTTTAAAGACATGTTTGGTAGCCCGACCTCAATATTCAGTTGTCCCGGGCCAGCGGGCTAGCGTTAGTGTCGAACCCTGCCCTAACGGTCTAAGATCAGTACACTTATGGAAGTAGAATTTAACTGTCAAGATAAATTAATCAACAATTAAGCATTGTGTTACAGTGTATATTCTTACATTATATTGCTCACCTCTGAGGCAGGAAACCCCAGCTTGACACACTTCTGGGCATACTCAGACCTTGTCTTTGTGCTGTTATTGGTAACATAAAATACCTTTTTCCCCTTCATACAGAGTACAAAAAATGTGTATATATAATAAATATAGTAAAGCTCGTATATGATTGCATTACAATTCCTTCATATTTTATTGAATTTAATTAAAGGTATAAACATGTATATTTCACTTAATATACAAATTTTTTATAGTACATACATGTATTGATTTTTTTTTTACATATATGTAAGACTCCAAAGTCCAATGGTGACGCCAAAGTCCGATGGTCTCGCCAAACCTTGATGGTCTGTGCAAAACCCTGATGGTTTGTTGTCATTACGGATGCCAAAGTCCGATGGTCACGCCAAAGTCCAATGGCTCGTTTCCTAGGAGACGCGCTGTGCTAAGGTGCGATGGTCTGACACGCCAAAGTCCGAGGGTGAGGAGAAACAATCAACATTTATGACGTCACAATAATCCGACTTCAATCCTTGACGCCCTTGTTCTGCATTCGTCCTCGAATACAATTTTATTGATTTTGCTTATTGCTTGCACCGTCTAGAGATACCGGTATTTAATTAGAATTAGTCCTGGCACACCAGTCGATTGATTATGGTTACATGTAGTCCTTGCTTTGTGCCAATCCGGGAGATTTAGGGTTAGTTCTCACACACATTTGGAGTAATAAGGGTTAGTCTGGCACCCACCCAAATATCTAGGTTTTAGTTGATACACTCTTTTCGAGCATTAAGGGATAGTCTCGCACCTACTCGAGAGATAAGGGTTAGTTTTCGCAAAATGATATTTATTTATACTTATTTTTAAGTCTTAACCAGGCATGACTTTGAGGTTTGGCACAGTAGTACTATGATGTCGTAAACGTTAATTGTTTTCCACACCATCGTACTTTGGAGTGTCAAACCATCGGGGTTTGGTGCAGACCATCGGACTTTGGTTTGACCATCGGACTTTGGAGTCCCATCGCACTTTGGAGTCCTACATATATATTAAATTAAGTTGATCATTAACAATTAAATTTCTTAAAAGAAACTGAAAGTTTGAGTCTATAGTTTTAAACTTACATAAATCACAATATAATACATGTAAACGCCTTACCAAAGATTTCAGTCCTTTTATAGTTTCCAAGCTGCCTGGAATGGGTTCACTAGCATTCCATAACACTCCTGCATTCAGAGAGCTTTCATAAGTTCATTATAAATAAACAATCTTAGTACATTCATTCTAAATTTACTTCCTTACTGCTTATCTCTTACCGAATCTGACAAAAGCTCTGTTGTGTACCGTTAAAGAGTAAAAAGAATATTTTACAACTAAATTTATGGATGCTATGTTTGCACAGTGCTACATTTATTTTTTTTTTAAAATATTTATTTTCATAGTGAAACTCAGACCTAGTTATCAGAATGCTTACAAAATTATGATTCAGGTTTATGTCCCTTTAAGGCTTGCACAGACCCTGAATCAAACAAAAATTTCTTGAGACATAACAAAATACAGGGGCGTAAAGGATATAACTTGAATAAGATTGCGGGGCTTGTGACTATTTAAGATGTGAATGATCTTTGTCATGACAGCAGCTACAGCAATAGGGCACCTCGGTTTCAATGGACCAGTCTCCACATCCAACAGTATTAGGACTCAAACCTGCGGCATAAGGGATCAACTCCCTCAGCCACAACTCTTGTGCAAACACACACTATAACCATTGTAGAATACCATTACCCAAAAGGACCCAAAAGGAACCCAAAAGGACCCAAAAGGAACCCAAAAGGACCCAAAAGGAACCCAAAAGGACCCAAAAGGAACCCAAAAGGAAATCAAAAGGACTCAAATAAATATATTAATATACATTGAAAATTAATAATTTGAATTAAATTATGAATATTATATTATAAATTTACCTAAAAGTTGGCAAAAAATTAACATTTATATTGTTGCAACTTTTCTTAAAGAAATAACATACGACTTTTATTACACATCAAACACTAAATCTGGTCAGATATGCTTTGATTTTTTACGCTGAAATTAACAAAGTACACTGTATTATTCTATTTCACCTTTGTTTTACCATATCTTACTATATGATATTTAATAATTATATATAAAGAAATAAAGTTTTATGACATATTCTACATGTAGGCATATGGTATCGGGGATGGATGTGTGTATGTGGGGGGGGGGGGCTCCCAACCCCACCCCAAACACACACACACTTTACCCTCAAAAAACTAGTTTAAGTTTTAATAAAATATGAAAGTATTTATTATATATCCATTTATTCTGTTTATTTTAAGTCATTTTGGGTCGTTCCTTTTGGGTTCCTTTTGGGTCCTTTTGGGTTCTTTTGGGTCCTTTTGGGTAAATCGACGCACCGCAATGGTACGATGATAACTATAGCTTGCGTTTTTTAGTGTCACTATTCATTTGCTACATTATCACCATTCAGTAATATCCAGATGTATCATTATCAGCTGATTGTGGCATTCTGCTAATACATGTACCTACACTCGTGGTTTGTTTAACTGTTTAACATGTTTAATGCATAAAATTATTAAAATCTAATTGTATTCTCATTAATAACTTATCATTACCGTCACAGTCGAACAAGAAGTTATCCACGCTATTTAAAATATCTTTTGCAATTTCTGAATTTACTTCTTCACACATCTTGGCGAAATTTCTTACTGTATTAAAGTGTAATCTTTGAGAAAAATCGTCTATGCATTGGTCACAAGAGAGATAACCAGTTTACGGAACCAGATAAAGTATTAGACGATTGAATCCAGAAATCTCCTATACATGCTAACTCTCTGTTAATCTTATTTTAGGCCAGAAAAATAGTCTTTTTCTCAGTCTTAGATATAAGTTTGTATAAAATATGATCATTTGTCGTGCTAGTTTTGGTCTAAATTAAGTTTATTCTCCCGTATAACTAGAAATAGCATATTCCCGAGTTTTTATGATACGACTTATTTAGCACCGACGTACCCACTTTTCTGGAGCAAGGATCGAATCTGAATGTTGAGCTAATTAGGGTATAAATTATGCTTTTATTACATTGTCTTTGAATATCAACATGTAAAAACTACTGAATTTAAAGATACACAATAGAAAATTGCACGACAAAAGGAAAAATACTTTAAATACAACATCAGCTGGTTGGGTACTTATGACACTTGATCCCTGTTATATCCCACAGAAATAAATATTGTAGTAAAGATTTCGTGGTAGTCAGCAATGT